TTTTTTTTTTTTTTTTTTTTTTTTTTAATTTTTTTGTTATTTACCTACTAATCAGAAGCCTACAACTGTTTATCTATAAATCAACACCAACTATGATATGTATTTCTATTTATTGCATGAAATTAAAAAAAGGAGACCCTACCGTGCTATTTTTCCTAATATTTTATAATAAGGATAATGCTTGATTGTGCAAGTAATGTATGCTGTTCATAATTTAATTAAATACTCACTGTATCAAAAAAACAGCGTTCTTAAAATTTTAGATTACATTTAACACTTAGCAGAAGATCTTATTATGAAAATAACTCAAATCCAAATAGCGCAAAACATTTTTAATATTAAAAATTGTAAAATGTAATAAAAGTATTTTAAAAAAATTAATGTTTCTGTACCAGTTACGCAATATGTAGTATTAAGTACATTTTTATTAATTACAATTAATTAATAAAAATTAATAATACAAAATAATTATAATTAGGCTTAATTTAAATTATTAAAAATTATAAAAATTTCCACTTGGACGTGCTATAAATTAAATGCATTTTAATTTAAATCAGGGTCATACATTGTAAAAAAGTAAGGTAAAGATTTAAATTATGAAAAAGTGCTATTATTTTTGAAACAGTTTATTAATTAATAACAGAATTATTAAATTTGGGCGGTAAATTAAAGATCTTATGCCGATTTATTTTGAGACTTCGTTATGCGCAAGAGCGCGTGGAAGATAAAAGTCTTATGTTTAGCTCCAGGACATTACCTGACAAAGGTACTCTACTAGATTCGTTTCCTTCTTCCTGCTCGTCAGTTTCCATGGCATGACTGTGTTTACGGGTTTCATTTTGCTGCGATGTAATTTTATATAATAACCAAAACTATATGTTTCTTTAAGATGTTTACAAAAAAAAAAAAAAAAAAAAGGAAAGAAAGAAAAAGATTTTTCTTGTTATATAACAGCACTAAACTTAAATGTACCTGTAGAAGTCTGTGATATATTGTTTTCTTACTCCAGTGATGTGTTTTGTCAAATATGGTTGTCTTGAAACTTTTAATAGATTCAGATTTATGCATGCGTGCTTAATTATACCGATAAGAAAATGAAAATTCGTATAGCTTCCTTAAAGGTTCATGTGAATATAAAATGTGTTTGCGAAAATTTGCTGAATTTTATTACGGTTAAATGATTTTAAATGATCAAGAGCAGATGTCTTCGAAAATATTTCCATCTATCTTGGATACGCGGGAAAGAGTTCACCATTTGAGATTTCATTTAAGTGTAGTAAAGATTTCAGACTTTGATTTCCAATCTTTTCAGTTGAGGAATATACTTATGCTGATGTCTTTAATCTCAAGATGCAGATTATTTTGAACCATCAATATTTTTTCCATTATTGCTGTGAACGTTCTACTTGCATACTGAACACTAAATGAGACTCTTTAGTAGACTATTTTCAACTATTTCTCATACATGTATGCCAGATCTAAATTGCTTTTGAATCCAACTAATATGTGTTCAGGTAAACCTAACTTTCTCTTAGCATAAAAAAAGAAATGTCATTGATCCATGAAGTTAGCCGCTTTGTACTGCATTAATTCACTTTTACACGAAGTTTTTCAATAAGCTTATTTGGAAATTTTTTAACATTTACAGCAGTTTAATAAAACTAGCGAAATCACGTAACCTTTAAATGTAATATCACAAAGCTTAAAAATTAGTTATGTGGTAAATGCATAAGATTAAGGATATGCTTAGATACTAGTCTACATTATGATTTGCGACCATAAAACGAAACCAAACTTATTATACAAAAGTTCTATTTGCCAGGTACTCAGACGCTTCCATAACAGTTGATTCAAGATTTCAAACGTATGACTACTAATGAATTCAGTATAGTTCCATAGACGCATTTTTTTCACCTTTACAATTTTCTCTTTTTCCCTTCCTCAACAACAACAATATATAAAATGCCTGTTGATATATTGCTTACATTACTGGTACAATATATGATCATTAGCAGTTATAAGTTAAGTTTAGGAAAGACAAAAATTATATTCATTTTTGCAACCGCGGCAGATGTTCCTACTCATAATCTCTCCCATTTCAAAGGTCATTTGTGCTACGTATATTTTATTCGAATACTTTATTATATTTTTTTCATTTATTAAGGGGACTAGGTACCCCAAAATCAATGAAATTACCGATTTTTCAATTTTTTGCTGAAAAAGTACCTTAATACACTTACTACACTGAAGAGGAATTTTGAAATGATCTGAGAATAATAAATGTTATAAAACGGTTTTTTAAAATTTTGACACCCCTTTAAATGCCACACCCCCTCAGTGTTTATTTTATTTTATATTTTTTTTACTTCTTAATTTTTTTAGTAACTTACTAAAAATCAGTGTAAATGAAAAGGAGTGTAATCAAAAAACTCTGTTTATGCGTATATACTGATTTATTTAAATACAAATTAAAGTTGGATTTCACCTTTAAACTGGCAAGTTTATATATTTATACTGAGCTCAGCAAATAATTTTATGTGTATTATCAGTCAACCAAAATGCTATGCCTATTCAAAAGTTGAAATTATCTGTGATTAGATACGAACAGAAAGAGGTGGTGTAATGAAAGTGATCAAATTTCTGACCGTAGCATTATTGAAATAGTGCTGGAACAAACATTAAACTTTTTAATTAATTAAAATGCACATAAATTAATTTAAAATGCAATTTATGTACGAGAACAATGGCTAAAATAAGAGAAGAAATCACATAAGCTGCTGAGTGGTTTTAAATAAAATGTTTAAAATTTCAAATGTCCGTTAAAATTTCAATTTTGCTTTTAAAAAATGAATAAAACGACAAATTAATATTATAATAATGATTTATAAGCGTTTTAGAAATATATTATAATTAATTCATTCATTTAAAATTGTTTTGAGCGTGTTTTTAAAAAACAAAAACAGGTAAGAAAAATTCTACTTTATTTTATGATATTTTTGCAATATTTCTAGCCAGATAAGGTTTTAAACAAAAGCTTGTAATTTATATTCATATTAATCAATTGAGCAGTACTAAGTTTTATTATAAATTTTTTAAGAAATTGGAAATGATTTAATGACCGTCCAGACAGTTTACATTCTTTAAACTGCGATTTCTCAGTTTGCAATTTTTTAATATATCCTTTTACTTAAAGTCCTAAAACTTGTTCAGATATGGACCACATTATTTAATAATTTTACTGCTTATTTAAAATTATATACTAAATAGATTCAAGAATGGGATTTGAAAAATAATGAAAAGAAAAATTATTGGGAAGTAAAAATGTTACTGAAATCATATTTTTTTAAAGTTTTCATATAAAATGTGCTTTTTATTTTTTTTTCTCAGAAACTAATTCATTAATTGAAAAATCGATCCCTAAAGTTATTAAGAACACTATTATGAATACAATAAAAAAATTTGAAGAAAAATATTGAAAATTGTGGAAAAAGAAAGAATTTTTAAATGTTGAATTTTTTTTAAAAAAATTCAAATTAAACAAAAATTGAAAGCAAAAACATTTTTTTTCAGCTAAACTATTTTGTCTCATAAAACCACTTAATATTATTCATAAAAAGTAGATGAAAGTGCTTAAATAAAAAAAATCATTCAAAAGGTGCCGAGTCCCCTTAAAACATCAAATGTCTTTACAAACAATGAAAGTGGCACTAACAGCTATTTCGATTTTGAATTTCTCATTCCATGACAAAAACTAAACATTGTTGTAGGTATTTATATTTTAATACAACCAATATTAGTATATGACTTAATACTTTTTGTCATAAAATACATATATAATATGAACTTAATTCGAAACTAAATACATAATAACATAAACTAAATTTTAAAAAAAAAATAGAAAACATCTAGAGAAGCTTTATGGAAAATGTTGTCTCAGTTTATTTTCCTTTAAAAATTATTTAATCAAAATTACATTGACTTTTTTACAGTATTAAAGTAATAAAACCTGTTATGAATTTTCAGTTTTGCATTCAGCTGCAATTAGTTCGCGATTTCTATAAATTTGGTTAGGAAATCACTGGGTAATGCAGTATACTTTAAAAAAAATGTAAGTCTTCTAGTTATTTATTTTTATGGTTATTTTATTTTAAGAATATTTACTTAAAATGTTATTTACTTCAATGTGCATTTTCTTGCTTTATTGGTATTTGCTTGACTAGAATAAGCTTGAAGTAAAAGGCACTGATTGAAATGTTCGCAACTGCTTTTTACTTGCGTTCAAACAAGCAATTACCAAGCTAGAAAAGTTTACAAAACACTGATTTTAAAAAGATAGCTAAAATCTGTTAATTTACTGAGTAATAAAATATTTTTATCCATTGAAATTCAAAATGTATTAAATTTTCTTATCTTTTCATTAATGGACATTTCCAATTTGTTTATTGGAAATCAAAACTTTAACTGCTAAAAATTGACATATAATTTTGAAAACTTCGTATTTTTTAAAATTCTCGGAAACCCGTAATTAGATATTTGGAAGAATTATTAATTATTGAATGTATTTCTTATGATTTGCTTATTAAGAAAGCTTACTTCCTATCACTAGAAAGGCCTTTTTGTAACAAGTTGGAATATTATATTAGCGAAAGCTCTCTTCATTGAAATCGATTTAATAGAAACAAAACCCTTTGTACCAACGATGACAGAAACAAAAAATAATGCTTAAAACAGATCTGTCACAGTGAGTTAAGAAACTAGTTAAACTGCTTAATAGTTTACAATAGCTTGCCAAATATGTTTTAGCAATTTTAGTCTAGTACTAAACATTATACGAATTAATAACTCTATTAATAATGTATAGGTTTTCCCAAATCCTAAAATTGAAAAAAGTAAAAATCGAGAAAAAGTACTGAAATTATTTGGAATGACTATTAAATCAATATCTGGTTGACTAGTTTTAGCATAAGGGAAACAAATAAAGCATAAAATTGTCTACTTACGCAGGGCGGCGTATGCTGGTATTATTTCTGATGTCAGCCATCTGGAATACGTTGCTTCCGGACAAAGTCCACCGTAGCAGAGAGCAGGTATAGTCACATCTGATAAGTCCAGCGCTCTAGGTATTGGACTAGTCCTGGTGTTTGGACTGGTACTATGCTGGGAATGCTTACCCTCTGGAAGGTCCAAAATATCCCTCACACTAAATCCGCTAGGTTTAGTGGTGGCCGTCATGATTATTTAAATAACTACATTCCACAAACACTTTAGCAGAAGTGCACTTCCATCCATAGCAAAAATTTTACTTCATACAAATCTAATCTAATAATTTGCTCTCTTGTTGGAATTTCACTGTTAATTCTTCAATGCCTCAATTCTTCTTATTTTTCCCTCTTTATTAAAAACGAAAATTTCAATGTATCGTTCTCAAGGTGTTCTTTAAAACCAGTTGAATGAGTTTCGGAAAACTGTAGTTTTTATTAATACAAACAGTATAAATTCTGTCAAGAAACTAATATGTTTTCCAGATATAATTTGCTAAACTCTAAGTGCTTTATGACTGTTTGTACAGTATTGAGTCTGCACAAAATACAGAAGCACAATAATGGTTCTTCATAAGAATATTTGTTTCAAATTTCAAGTTTTTATTTGTTCTCAAAAAAATTTATTATTTCGAAATGACTTCTTTAAATCTTAATTCTGACTATTATCTAAATGCATACTTGTTAATAATTGTATAATACATAGGCAATAATTTTCAGAAAGTTTATATTTCAGCTGAGCCGACTGGAGTACTTATTTTATCCAATACACACTTGTCATATTTTTGAGAAAAATTATCCAAATTAATTTATCTGTCGGCAAAAGTGTTAAAATATAAATAATTAGTGATCAGACCCATTTTTTGAATAGAATTCTAGCTTGACCAGTCATCTGCAGTAACTGCGGCGGAGAATTCAGTATTTCAAATAACTGATTTTCTTACTTCAGCTTCTGCAAAATCTTTAACTTTTTGTATTATTACATCTTGAAATGTCATCACAGTTTTCAACTGCTATTTTGTTCCAAATGATTAAGAAAAAGTCACACAGTAAGGTGAGATACAACTATACTTTTATATTAATTAAACCACCAGTTTCCAATTAGATTCAATTGCTCTTACTTTAAGCAATAACAAACTATAATTTTTAAGATAATGCCTTTCAACAGTGGGTTTTCCAATGAGTATCAAAATACATCCACTATCTCAATTATATATATTTTTATATCGCCGTAAACTTTCCGATTTTGAAAACACAAAGAATTTTCCTCACTTATGAATCACAATTTTCGAAAATATATCGACAGCAGCTTTCAGACTCAGTTTCCAGATCCCGATGATGAAAATATTTACATTTTTGGAAACCTGGAACAATCTCGAAAGAAATGGGGATATTCTTCTCTCACTCTTTATACACACTTTTCTCTGGTCTTTCCCGGAATAGTTTGTTACTTATTGAACCTACATACTTTAATAATTGCTTACACCTTATGAAATGCACTTTAAACGGGCAGATAGCTAAATAGAGAAGTTTTTTAGAGTTTTGTTTTAAGTAATCAAAGTTCGATAACTCTTAAGTAAACAGGCATTTGCACAATTATTTACATTAAGATTAAATAACGGAAACGAATAACCATGAAACACAAAATGTCAATAACACTTTCCAACTGCCTAAAACGGCATCTATTTTGTTTTAACGATAAACAGCTGCTTGCTTTGCCGCACATTGAAACGACCGGAGTTCACTTTCATTATCTCGACGAGAGATAGTTGAATACGGAGACGGCGTTACGGCGCATGGGTGTTGTCCGTCGATCCGGACGAAGTCAGGACCACCCCCGCGGGGGCTATTGGGGAGAGGGTGATCTGTTTTTGCTTCAGGATTGGAGAAGGAGAAAGAAGCTTTAGGGAGGAGTGACTTCAAGCGCCAAACGTCGTGTTGTTACAGGTTTCTTTTTTTCGTTGGCCCTTTCCTGCCCTTCTTTATTCCGTCCTGTTGTCGTTTCTTGTTTTTCTCTATTTGTTTGCTTTCTGGCCGATGGTAAGTAGGGGGGTCGGTGATGTGTTGAAAGAAGTTCTGACAGGTTGCAAAAGTGATGCCAGGCTAGTGGAGGAAATGGGTCAATATTCCGATACGAAATTGCTGTTTATTTCCATGCCGCGAAAAGTTGCAAATGTTGGTGTCGGCTGAACCAAATTATCTCAGTTAGAGATTCTTAATTATTAGCGTACGACAGATCCCTTCGAGAGGCATGGTTGTTTTAAGAATCTATAAATCTATACATTTAAGTATATCATTTAAGTATAATCTATACATTTAAGTATATCAAACAAAAAAAAAGTATTGAAAAGTTGAAAAATGTATTCAAAATTACGTCATATATTCCAATTAATAAAAACTTTTCAAGCAATTTCCGTGGAGAATATAATACATTCAAGATACATTACGAAAGTGATAACCCTTTTCCAAATAGCATGAATTAAAAAACAAATTATTTTGTATTGATTTGCGTAGAATATGACGTTAGAAACATCTCTTATTAATAACAACGATGCTAAAAATGTTAATAAAAATTAGCAGTTGTGCATATAATAAATTAAATATATTTAAAATTATGTAAATTAGATGTGCTACTGAAAACAAAATTTATATATAAATTATTAAGAATAGAATTTACTAGTTTAAAACGGTCCATTTGGTTAAACAATTGCGTATTCATTAAATATGAAAGATAAATTAAAAATCTTATGCTTTACAACACACTGAGCTTCCTTTTCATGAGACTTTACATAAGTTGATACATCATAACCTAACAATCCCAAATTTTTGGAAAGATGTCCTTAGCAATTTTAATGATAATAAGCAGCAAACGTAATCCAGTTGCGATTATTTAATACAAATTTTTTGTTAAAAAAATCGCAACATCACATAAAATATTTAACAGAAACTTATTTGATTTAACTAATTTAAAGAAACTTATCTATTTGGTGAAAAAAAAAATATTGTCGCTTTCGCACTTAAACCTATTGCTTCGTTATTACGAATATTTGTCACACGTAAACCAAGAACTGTACGACATACGTATCTTTGAACAGAAAATATCAAAGTTAATTCCAAAAGTCACAATTCTAGTTGAGATGACTTATGCGAGAATAAAATTACTAATGGCTTTGATAAGATACATAAACTCTCCTTTGAAGTATTTTTTTTTATTTAGTTTGTTAACAAGGAATAAATTAGTGTCTATTTGTCTTAATCTAAGCACTATTCTAACCTACTTTGACTGCCTTACGGATTCTCTTCCTTTCTTTACCTTTCAATGGCAGAAAAGTAAGTAATCATAACAATGTGTAATAATTAAAAGATTTATTTGTACTTAAGCTTGGAATTACAGAAACTAAAAAAAAAAAATCGACTTCCGCTATTTGCGCTTTGAACAAACAACAAAAAAAAAAAAAAAAAAAATTCTAATTCTTTGCAAGAGAAAATTTAATCTGTGATTTCAATCGAGAGCAAGCTCACTAAGTTGTACCTAAATGCTGAAAACAAGCAACACCAGCAGAGTTGTGACTAAGGATCTCAGCGTTCGGGAACAACTGAAGATCTCGCGCCTCTCTTGTTTGCCAAAAATGGGTAACATTTCATTCTAAAAATCCGTAACATGATTTCGGCTTCCCCTGGATGCTGCTGCGCCCGGGGACAGATGTTTCCCTTTGCCTTCCTCTAGCTACGCTCCTGAACACTGGAAAAGTTTCAGTGACGCAAATGACGTTTTAGTGCGATAAGATGAAAGGTGATACGTTTGTGATTACTTACTTTCCTATAATTAGATATTCGTTCCATATTTAAATTCATTTCATTTACATTTTCTAGCAGAATAGATGAAATAACAGAAAAGCAGATGTAATCCAAGAAAAAATATATTCATTAAAATGATCCTTACAAAATTATACGATGGATCGAAAGTTTTTCTTTGCTTATGATCATAAGTTAATGCTAAATAAAATCATGTATCTGTACATGTTTATATCTTTTATTTATGGTACCTAATTTATACTAAGGATCACGAGTACCTCAATGGCATGATTCTTGTAAACTTTAACTATTATGATAACGTATATGTATGTGTCTATATATCAATATGAGTGAGAGTATGTGTACTTTTATTTGCTTCGGAATATCTATGTATGTAAGTGTGTATATATCTGTATATAAGTTTCTATTTATATGTATATACATATATTTTGATTGTACTCTTCTTCAAGTGCCTTGTATGCACATGTATATATTTCTTTGTACATCGTTGTACTCTTCTTCAAGTGCCTTGTATGCATATGTATATCTCTTTTTTGCATTTTATAAATGTCATCTGCTCAGCCGGGGCTGCCCAGGGCTGCAGCCTGGTAGCTAGTGATTGACTCCCGCCGAGTTGGTAACCAATTCTGCATGGATATATCTATACCTGGGTCGGAAGCCAACTCAGCGGGTTTACCTTCCCTAACCACTATACCGTCTGGGGAGATACTAATAAAAACCGGATGACACTCAATATACGTATATTGTGAGTGGTTTATGAAAGCAACGTTGCCAAAAAATCTCTCCCTAATTCTCTATTTTGAGATCAAATTTACAGTTTTGCAGAAGTTGACAGAAAAAAATGTAAATACAGGGATAGTATGAACATAAAAATAAAGTGTTAATTAAAATAAAATTTACAAAGAAGCACTACGATTCTAGATAATTTTAGTCTTTTGTAAAGCTCGCCTTCGCGAGATGATATTCAGTAACACTATTTATTACTACTATTAAGGAAATTATTAGCCATTTTCAGAAGTATTTTTCATTTTTGCATTGCTAGGAACAAATTAGGAGGTGGTAGCCACGAGAGATTCCACTTTAAGGAAGATTAAAAATAATTTTTAAGACATTTATTTATATTAGCTTTTAATAAAAGGCCACACTTTAAATTGGATGAAATAAAACATAGCAGATTATTTCGAAATAAGTTGCGCCCATTTTAATGAAACAGTTGTTAAATATTTGCTAAAATTCATTTGTCTGATAATTCTTACTTGTGAGCAATAAGCGATTTTGTAATTCATGATGTTTTTTCCTGTACTAAGCAAACTATTCATCTATGTCTTTGATTCTAGTTAATTTAGCTACTTATAATCATATAAAAAATGGCAACCGTTGCGAGAAAGTGAAATCTATGATGCTATCGCTGTAAATAGAAAACCGGGCATTACATTTATAGTATTATTAGGTTTTTCGCAACGGGAAACATGAAAAATGTACAGTACCCTCTCCGGAATTCGTTCTTTTCTGTGCTAACCAGACTCGCTTTCAATTACACCACGAAAGTATTAGGTAAGGAGGGAAAAATTACCTTACATTCTCCCCCACTTAAAGGGCGGCTCCAGTAGTCGAACCTTGGTGGTGACGAATTATCATTTACCACTTTTTAGTTCGGACGCACGCCGCTGTTAGAGTAACTTTCAATTATTTTAAATCCGTAAATTCGAACACCAGATCTTCTGATGCTAATCGGACATACTTCCAATTACACTACAAAGGCACGCAGTAAGGAGAGAGGAATTGCCTTACATAGTTTCTAATTGAAGGTATAGCTAACCAATACACCACAAAGGCACTTCCGGAAGGAAAACTATTATTCATTTCACTGCCAGAAACGAATTTTTTTTCGGGGGGGGGGATTGTTGTTCTCATCCCTGTGACCAACAGAGCTAGATCGACTAATTACTTAAAGTTGGGGTATTCCCAGACTTGAAAATATTACTGTTTTTGCAATAATGATGAAAAAAGGAAAGTGAAAGAATGAAACATTTTTCTTTACTCCAAACATATTTTATTCTTCTCCATTATTTAATCATTTAAGCGAAATTCTTTTTAATCTCTATAAACTGGTAAACTATCTGTTGACACTAATTTTGAAAATCATGTACCGTGCATATTAGGGGTTGCTTTTTAATAGAGCCAAAATTATTCGATAAAACTAAAATCGGCTTAACTTTGATTTCTCGATTTCAATACTTTTTATTTCTCATACATTTTTTACATCTCATCTCTTTTTTTACATGTATTTTTTTCATTTCACTTATAAGACCTTGTTATGACAAAATAAAATCCATACACACGATCAATTTCGGACACTGGCCTACGAAAATATCAGAAAGAGTTTAGAAACATATCTTGACAAGTATTATACTACACGAAACATCAAACTCTCAATTTATCTTTCACATGCTCTCACACATAGCTCGTTCTCAGAATGCTGCCATTTTGCCAAACATAAGGTCGTTAGTTTTTCTTTCAAATTTAACTAGTCCGCTACTGACTGATAAACCGTGATTTAATAGCAATAAACACAATTCTTAATAACTTAAATCTTTATTTTGCGTTTTTATGACGCATCTAACTGTTGAAAATTAAAATAGCTTTACTTTCAGAATATTCAACTGATGATTTTTACGAACATTTGAAGCATCTTTATCGTATATAATTGATAAAGGATGTTTTTAACCAGCATATGCTACGTTAACTATACAGAACCACTTTTCTTTTTAATTTCCATAATGTTTTATATTTTGTTTTTTATTTGTGATTTCTTTTAATTTAAAATTTAAAGTTTAAATGATAAATGCTTCTTTGGCATTTCAGATTAATCCGAAATCTTCAGGTTGCATTTTCCTTCC